CCCCACTGCTGATGAGAGGATCTACCTGACGTACCCAGCTGCTGTACAGCAACTACTACTCTTCATTTACTGGAGGAGGTTTTGCACCTGCAAACAGCAAATGGTCTGAGTCTCTCATTACTATCATGGACTAAACCAACATTGTAAAAGCTTGACTGTCTCAGGCACCACAACAGAGTGATCAAATAATCCAGCCATGAGCTACCATTTCCAGTATAAGGCAGCCACTAATGGTTTTGCTATATAATGACCTATTTTAGATATACACACACACAGAGATTTATGTATATTTCATATTAAACTAATGGCAGGACATTGCTTTAGAAATCATGGTTGTCTCTGCTTCCATCTGCAAATTCTGACATCACGTCTTATGATTTGTCCCTATTTCTACCCGGCATCTTTCATCTTTTGCTGCTATTGAGCTGACTCAGAACCAAATCGCCAGCAAACCTCACCATCACCTAATTCTTCAGCACTCTTGTATGGAGGAGGAGGAGGAGGAAGGAAAAGAAAAAGAAATAAAACTGTCCCTTTAAAAACCCAAGCATTTAAGCTGCTTGTCAGTCGTTTTCCTGACAAGGCCACTTGAATGTATTCAGGAATATTTGCATAAATGCTCACAGTGAGTTCACCGTGGCAGCTAGCGCTAATGGTACATAAAGTAATTTAGTCACTTCTCTTAGGCATCCTGTCAGGGTGATAAGCACCCCCTCTTTGCCTTGTTGCATATTAGATCATTAGATAATAAAGTGTTAGAGCATGCAAACTGACAGGGTCTCAGGGACTATCATTTTTCGAGGGCATTGCATTCTGCCAGTGAGGAAAAATAATAGAGAAACTGATGCTGCAATTGGCTTTACATTCTTGTAAAGCCATTCAAAGATTTGGGGGAAAAAAGAATTTTTACTTTGCAGTGACATGAGAGTTTTAACTGGAAACTTTGCAGACATCTGCAGCGGTGGACTTCATGCTGGTAAACTTGAAAAGGGTTGTTGCAAACCCTGTCAGAATTCCCCCCTTCCACAAGCTAGTCACTTAAATTGCATTGGAAAGATTTTGCTTTTAAAATTGACACCCTGGGATGAACTACAAGCTGAAATATGTTCTACTGGTTGGGGCCTATTGGCTCTTCACTATACATCTTACTATATATGCACAATTTAGAAAGGTCAACCACACCGGCTTTCTGGTTTACCATAAATATAAAAACAGTGAGGATCCAACTATTTGTGAATGAAAAAGTGATAATTATTGAAAACCACAGATTACTGTGGCTTACCCTATTTATACCACACGGAGATGTATGAAATAATTGGCCTCTGCCAGCTATTACTTTTGAAAGATAGATATATTTATTTGAAATATGAGCTTCTTAACCCACTGGTTTCAAGGAGGACAGTGTGTGGATACGAAACCATGATCTAGGTTCCTAGTTATATTCAGAGAGACAAGCTACGAAAAGGAACTTTCATTTTACTGTCTGACAAGCAAGATATAAATAGAGATGTGTTGGATGTCCCAAAAATAATCCAGGCTACCTGCTAATGAGATGGTAAAACCCAAATGTGGAGACACTAGGCTCCCGAGTGGCTCGGGATGTAAAGCCTTCTTTCCAGCTTTTTGGTACCCAGTGTCTCTTCTAAACTGCAGCTCCATGTTTAAGAGCAGTGTGTCGCAACACAACTTCGTAAGGAAAAATAAGCTGGATATTGTCTAACTAAACTAGGCAACCAGCACACCTTCTTGCTACATCCCCTCTCCCCTTTCCCCAGTCCTCACGCAGTCAGGCATTCATCCCTACTGTGATCAGATATTTGTGTTAAAGAGTTAAACATCTAGAAAAGTACACGGGAGTACATTTGGTCAAGGACATATTATAGTTAGATGCCAGCATTTAAAAACATAATGATCAGAAGTTCCTCACCAGAGCAATAAACCAGAGACAAACTAGCCATGACTACGTTAGCTTCCCATTTCACCATTTACAGACACTGTTCAGGTCAATCTGCCCTCCCCAAGGGAGGCAGAAGAGCTGGAAAGAGGAAAGGCAAACAAACTGTCTCTGCTACTTACACCTGAAGATATTATTCAAGATAAAAATTCAAAAAACAAGAAAAATAATATACTTCAGGACTCAAACTAAAAGTAAAAATTAATTTCAGTGGAGGAGACCATTACCTGTTCTAACGGGTCTAAGGTTCATGGTGGTTGCCCAAAATTCAATAGCATTAAGCCCAGTTGAGACTTTTCCTTTTTTTTTTTTCATTCAGTTAAATGATTTAGACATCTAATACCAACATTTAAAACAGTGACTAGATT